CTATTTGTATCAAGACTGCTATAATTTAACAATTACAAGGTAATTTAACACTAACAGCTTAATAAAACAAATTCGTCAGCCTGCAGCCCAAGTGAAACTACAACTTAAGAAATTTATCGTTGTGGCCTCTTTGTTTAAATAATTATAATTACTTATGATGAATATACATAATATATATAATATTATAGTAATTAATTATATTTACTCATACTGATCATACTGATGAAAATAGGTTAATATAATTAATTAGTATATTGTTGAAGAACTGAATTAGGTATCAGGTATATGAATTAATATATTGTACTAATTCAGTTCACATACTTTTATCAATATGAGTAAATATAAATTAGTATATTGTAGTTTGGCTCTGTGTGTATACTGTATTGTCTGTTCATTTTAGAAATGTGCAAATATGTGAACTGAATTATTTTCTAATTTTGTTAGTGTTTTAATTTTTATATATCGTAAATGTATTTCAACCAACAAAATACTTATGAATACGAGTAAGTCATATCATTTAATGACTCCGAGGCATGCAAAAATATTCACGCACAGAAATTGTCCTAGAAGATTCGTCAGAATGTTGGGAATTTCATTAGTTAGTAGAGATTTTCNCCGTAAATGTGTCATCCACCCTAAATTACTGAGTGTATTTAACAATTTGTCCTAAACATTGACATTGAACAAACATTTTATATTATTTGAAAATAAATATGCACATTAGAGCCACTGAACATACACAGTAGCCCAAATAGAAGTCTCATGTTTAGATTCATTTTCTTTACTAAACTTATAAGGACTCTTTCCCACATATGATCTAAACAGAAAACCTTACATTGATTAATTTGTTGTCTTGATTAAATGTGTTCTCCAAGTGAGTGGATGTCAAAAGTGGGAAATTCAAATAATGCTTAGCAGAGGACACAAAAGGGCTATTGAGCTTATATGAAGCTTCACATTTGGGAGCCAAAGGAGAAACAATACTACAGGAAGCCAAAGAATTCAGCAAAACACATCTTCAAAGCATGAAGATTACAGCCGATGATAATAATATTGGTACAGATGAAGCCCTTGAACTCCCGAGGCACCTTAGAATGGAAGGCTTAGAAGCAAGACTGTACATTCAACAATATGCCAAACAACAGTCTCACGAACCAGCCCTTCTCGAGCTAGCTGTCATGGACTATAACCGAGTTCAAGTTCAACATCAATCAGAACTCTCTAAAATTACAAGGTGGGGGAAACCAAACACTCTTCAAATTCACTATAGGTATTACGTGTATTTAGGTGCTTACAATCATATTAACTTAGAAAGACGAAACCAAAGTTCGTTGGGTCAGGTTGAAAAGCTTCTCCACATAACCTACTAAAACATAAATACTTCCAAGAAAAAAGAAAACCTGACAGTATATGAAACCCAATTAAACAGCAAATATACAGGGACACAGGGAAAGATAAATATTGGCACATTGAGAAAAAACACACTCCATTAAATTGAAAACTACCGTATGAATTTAATTTCCATTACCTTATTCGAGTGCCCAAGGGGTAATAGCGGCTGACGGGCGGCGTGCGACCGGACGGCTGACGGACGAGCGACTGACGGGCGGCAGATGGCTAGGGCTTAGGACGGACGGCGAACGGGTAGGGATTGGGACGGACGGAAGGCCAAGTGCGACTAGGGCTTCGGTCAATCTTGGGCGAGACGGGAGTTGGGAAGACGGCGGACGGCAAGGGCCGAGTGCACCTTACGGGCCGCGTGAGGCTAATATTTGCAGAGAAGAATACGAGAGTTGGGCGAGAGAGAAGAATGTGACGTGAAGAAAATTACGTGTCAAAAAAAAAACATTTAAATTTAAAGATGTAAAGGCACCTAAAATTTTTTAAACTATTTTATAAATAAAAAAAATTAACATAATTTTTGCATAATTAAATGTTAATAAGTTTTATAACTTTAAAATAATATATACTACATTATATTTAAATTAATTGTTGTTTTATAATATTTGTCATAATTTTTNGAATCTATTAAAACTCAAGCGAACCAAGTTCGAATAATACAAACCAACCCGAGAAGGAAAAGTGGGAGGACACGCATATAGCGGCCTAGAACCTCAACACGGAAAAGAAGAACAAAAATAAACAAAGACCCTAGTTTTACCTCCACTGCCAATGCCTAGAGATAAAACCAAGGCCAAACTAAAGGAAAAGCAAAACCTAACAAAGGATTAGAGTTCACAGTACAGAACAACCAAATACAAAAATATACCAAACAAACTAAAGGCCAGAGAACTCCAGCCAGTTGGTCAATGCAGCTTTAATCACCATATGCACTGGCATTTGAACTTCTTGAAATAGACTAAGGTTGCGGGTTTTCCAGAGCCACCACCAGAGGATGTACGTTGTCAACTGAATTCGATCCTCTGATGTTCCAGCCTTTCCTACCGAGCATATAAACTTCCACCAGCAGCTAAAAGATGAGTCCACCGTATGATTTGAATCCCATGAGACTGGAGAATATTTCCATGCACTGATTGCTCTTGGACAGTGGAAGAGGACATGATTAGCAGTTTCAGCAGCAGCCCCACAAAAGTGGCAGATGACATCTATGTCCATTCCCCTCTTTCTCAGGTTGGTCTTAACCGGCAGTGAGTTGGCTATACATTTCCAGATAAAGATTTTGACTTTGTTCTCTACCTTCAACTTCCATAACCTTTGAGTGGCCTTGCTTAATGATTGACCATTGAGGGAGCTGCAACCTGGGATGTCTAGCTGAAGCAGCTTTTGTTGACAAAGGAAGGAATATGTGTTAGAAACTGAGAAAGTTCCTTTACTGTGAAGCTTCCAATAATTTTGGTCAGCTTTGTCAGGCTTCAGTGTATTGATTTTGAGAATGGCAGTGCTATCTTCCTCATTGAAAACCTGCTTGACTAGCCAAGTGTTTCATCCCTGACCTGTATCAGTGAGCAGCTCTTTCACTTTGATTAAGTGTCCTCTGGCAATGTCAATTAATCTAGGTTTTGGCTGTTTGAGAGTAGGCACCCAGTTGATATCCTCCAGTCTGGTATCTTCACCATTTCTGATAGTTATAGCAAATCCCTTGGCAAATGTGGGAAGAACAGACATCCAGTTGGACCAAAGCCATGAGCAGTTTTGAGTCTTGCTGGCTTCAAAGATAGAAGTGTTGGGATAATATTTTTGCTTCAAGATCCTGCTGACCAACAGAGATGGTTGAGTTGTAATTCTCCATAGCTGCTTACAGATTAAAGCAATATTAAAGAGTTGCAGATCAAGGAATCCCAGGCCTCCATTAGTTTTTGGTAGAGTGAGAGTATTCCAGGAGGACCAGTGTATTCCTTTGGAGTTATCCTCCTTTGTACTCCACCAGAATTGAGAGCAGATGGAGTTATCCTCCTTTGTACACCCCTATTCTATGAATAATTGGTGTTTGATTTTTGTATGTATATTGAATATGGAAAATTCAAGAACTTTTTTGTATTATTGCTGTTGAAAGAAGATGAATGAATAGTGAATGAATCATGACCCCTTTTTTTCTCTCCCATTTCCCTATACATATACATCCCCCTTCTCCTACAAGTGGACTTACAAATGGGCCAAGTGAGCCTATTAAAAAATAGGTAAATAGGGAACATTAGTATTTAATTTGAGATGACACAATGGGGCCCGATCGTGACACTTGACGGCTTCGATTGACGTATACTTTTTCAGCAATTATTGTGTCTGTTGGAAACGGACCTTCTCGATATTTGGGTCAGCGGATGATATTAATTCTGCTCGGCTCGAACGTGGATCATCTGGGTACTTGGGAACTCGGTCGATATTTAAATAATCGGCGCACTGAACATGCTATATTTATATTTATTTAATACATTCATGTGTAGCCTTATTATTAATCGAGGCTAAATTGGGTATCAACAAATATGTTAAATTTTTATGTCTCCTAACTCTAAATAAGAACTCTAAAATGATAGATATTTTATAATGGGTGACATAAGTATATAAATCATATATTAAATTGTTACAAATATCATAAATATAAAATCTATATATATATATATATAATTACTAGCTGGTACATTTAAGAAAACCTCTTAAATTATACCTAGCTGGCAAATCTCGCCAAAAGTCGTTACTGTTCACATAATTTTCATTTTTTATTTTTTTTTATTACACAAATAGATCGTGTTTGAATATAGTTGACTGTGTTAAAATTGACCACAAATGTCATTGACTTTCCAATGATCTAGTCGTTACAAGTTCTTGAAAACTATCCCAAATTTTTTAAACAATTCAATTACTGTCCACAATTATCAATTATCTTTTTTTACTCTAAAAACCTTTTTATTTAATGAATTTATTTTTTATATACATCATAAGTTAATAAATATTAATGAAAATAAAAAGTGAATAAATAACAGAAAATACAACACATCATAAAAATAAATTAAAAATAAAAAAAAAAGTATTTCACAAGCTCCTTTTCCTTAAGAGTGTGAATTAGTCCTGCAAAAAAATAAATAAATAAATAAATAAATAAAATAAAGATCAACATATAATATACCACCAAATGAACTACTTATAATTTTCAAACTGAACAATTCCAAATATGAAAATGAGGTGGGAAAATACAATTAAAAAAAAAAGATAATATTAAGATAAAGTTTCAAGCTTCAATATCCCATGATTTTTGCACATTTCATAACTCTAAAAATTCAATAGTAAATGTTGCACAGAATCTGGAAATTACGGTAAGCATTATCTAGAATTTATTTTTCAAACTTGGATATCCCATGATTATTGCACATTTTATACGTCTATTAATATTAAATAACACATATGACTGAAAATGACATGAAAAAAAAATACAAAGATATTTGGTAGTCAAAGCAAAAATTATTATCTAGAAATATATTTTCAATATTCAATCAATCAACATTTATTTATATTGATTGCTTTTTTTTTTTCCAAACTTTATAAACTAGTTTTAATCCGTATATTTGCACGGAAAACTGTATAATACATCAAAAGTAATAAAAATATAAAAATAATTGTAAAAATCATAACATAATGAATGAAAAAAATAAAGAAAATCCAAATATTAATAAATAGTATTTTATATACAACGTTCATGGTTTTCTATCGTCAAAATTCTCATCACCATAAATCATTATTTTTAAACCCCTCAGACTCGTAGCTCTGGAAAACGCCACGTATAATTGCTCATGAAGGTGTTAACGAAGACAAATTTGATGACGTAACTAAAATAATTAAATTGATATAGTTAAATATGTGCTAAAAATTATTTTTAAAAATTCCGGACACAACATATAACTTTATGACAATGTAATTTAATATTTACACAATTTGTGACAAAATAAAATGAAGAAAACATAGAAACATTGAAGTTTGTAATATAAACGTCACTATTATATGTAAAAAAAAAAATTACACATGTAATGGATTTACTTGTTTAAATTATTAAATATTGTACTACAAATAATTGAGGTCACTTTTGTTTAATAAATTTATTTTTTAGAATTCTATATTACATTAACGTATTTTGGCCCATGTATTCATAAAATATGTGCCCAAATTTTTAAAGAGCATAAAATTGGGCCATAAATAAAAAAATTAGTTCTTATTTAGTATATAGATTGGGCTGAATTTATAACAAAAAAAAAAAAGAAATCGGGCACGTAATGAAATTGATAAGAATCCAACCCGTCTATAAATCATGACCAAATGCTTCAGATTCATAAAAAAAAGCCTAATAGTGAGTCCATTATCACAATTAAAAATAGAGCCTAGGAAGAATTGAGACAACTTTGTATAAAGGAAAAAAAGTCTTTTCATGAATCATGCAAAATCTGCAGTTGACACGTTGTCACAATATTGTGTAATATATGTTACACTCAAACCCTAGAAATGGCTTATGTCGGCTACTCATTTTACAATCAAATGTCTCTCTCCCCAAGCCCTTATCAAATGTCTCTCTCCCTTATTCTCTCTTCTCAAACCCTTATCCTCAAGTTTGGAAAAAATATTTTCGTCGAGACAAAAGCTGAATACTGTATTTTCAGCGGCGATTCTCCTAAGTTTTTCAGTACGATTTTGAAAAAAAAAAAACTGAAATATGTACTTTTCGATAAAATAGAGATGGAATAACAAAATCGTCCCGATTTTACTAAACCGAAATACTGGTTCATAGTATTTCGGTTCAAATCGGTCGATAACATGTTCGATCTTTGAAGATCTACATTTTTTCCAATTTTTTTAGTCTCTTTTATTTTTTAAGCATCTTTCGATTTAAATCGGCTTAAAACATAATAGATCTATCAAGGTTTGCATTTTTTTTACATGTATTCTGAGCTTACCATGAGGGATATATAGCTTCTGACAGACGGGAACCTGCCCGGATAGTGATTTAAAGAGACCGTATATGGTCCTTTTGATATATTTAACAGCAGTTGGAACACCCTCATTGTGTGAACACGACCGATCTATATCGGCATGATCGAATTTTATTTTTTTATGATATTTCTAAAGTTTTTATTATATTTAACAAACGAATCTTTGGTGAAGTACTATAATCTATTATACAAAAATTGGTTTTCAAACGAATATGTTGATTTTTGACAAAATATTGATAATATAGACCCTTCACTGAGTTTTTCAGATTTTCAGTTTGAAATTCAAATTGTTCTTCATAAATCTCTCAGATTTATATAGATTTAAAAATGTAAATACAAAATTTTTAATGTATCGACATT